TGCTTTGATGCCATTTTGGAGGGGTGGGTGGGGGTGGGGAGAGAAGACCCCTGTCAGCAGAGCACAAAGATACACAGAGATATTTAATCAAACCAGATAGTTTCTTTTATTTGGGGGGGGGGATCATAGAAGGCAAGACGGTAGCTTAGCGCCCTTAGTTCTCTTTCTAGCAGGATAAAACAGCTTGTTGTATTGATTCTGCACTGAGCCAAGGATTTATGTAAAACAAGGCAACAGCCTTATACTGCAAACAATGCATGTTAATGTTTTCTGTTTGATAAGGAGCTAGGTGGCTGCGTTAAAATGGACATGTATCGGATGGCGCTTCTCTGGATTACTGCAACTGTTTCAAGGCAATTTAAATTTTTGATGCTGATAGTCGAAAAGAAGCAATTTTTACGTGCTGTGCTGGAATTTAGATAAAGCAAAGACTCAGACCTGGAAAATAGGACTCGATGCACGCTGCGGGGTGACATTTTTAGCATTGTGAAGCACTTCCTGGACTAAACATTGAATTATGGCTCTCTGCCACTCACATTACAAGCAAATACTCAGTTAACGATTATAGAACAAACAGCCACTACCTCTGTAGAAAAGTGTTGTATGTTATCCTCTGCCTGTTTTACTGCCAGTGGCGAAAGGCTAGTTGAGGCTCGTGTATTTTCACCTTTCCAAGCCACGCAGCAAACCCGTGGACAGGTGGCCTGAGTTTTAAGGCTGATGGTGCTGAAGTTATTGTTTTTTTGCTTTGAGGAGAGGTGAAAAGTGTGTTATTTTCCCACAGCCTCCCTGGAAGAGGATGCTTCATATCAGCTCGGTGCTGGTGGATATGTTGAATGAATGCTGGATGTCCCTTTCAGTGGAGGCCGTGAACCCGGGGATGCTCTTGAGGGATTCTGAAACGGAGTGTAACTCAAACCCAAGGAGGACGAAGTTACTTTCATTGGCTCTGTGCTCCCTGACGTTGCTTTTCCCAAGACAAATATTTCTAAAAATCAGGTTCTTCATCAAAGTGGGCTCTTGATGGTCTGGGGGAGTGGCATAGATTAAAAAAAAAAAAGCAAAAATAAATGTCTAGCTCTTGCAAAGTTCTGCAGAGGATTAGGCACCCTTACCTTACTCCGTTGGACTGTCCGTGTGTACCCAGTGGCTGAATGCTTAATGCTTCACAGAGCATCGTGACTGTAGCCATTCCTTCCCCATGAATTTATCTGATGTCTTTTTTAAAGCCTCAAAATGGATCAATAGATTTCATGCTTCTTTTTCTCTCTTCTGAATCACCCACCGCTCAACTTCCTTGGATAACTGTAGGTTCTAAGGTTGCTCCACACCACGTGTCCTTTTTATAAATGATGGGCAAGTCCCCCTTATTCTCCTTTTCTCCTAAATTAAACATCTTCAGAGTATCCTCTTCACCCCAGCCCACCAGTAATTTGTGATGGCCCCTTGGAAGGCCCAAGTACAGTTACTACCTGTAACTGCCTAAGTTACGGATGTTCTGAAAGTAAAGTTGGCGAGACAAGTTACGTATTTTTCTGAGATCTTTGTGTTTGGGTCTTAGTTTTTAAAGAGCTACCTAATCAAGGGGATCATTCCTTTGAAACCTGTCTGTAGGATGTAGAAGTCACCTCTCGAAACCCCTCCCTGCCTTCCTGCCTCTCTTCTCTCCATCGTTGTCTGGAAATCCAGCTCGAGACAGAGATACCCGTCCTCCATCTTATGGAGCAGAGCGTATATATTTTGGCCAGCTAATAATCTATTCAAAAGCATTTTTGCCTAAATGTGCACCTGCCTTACTTGCTTCTGATGCTTCAAAAGCATTGTTGTTATTGTTGATGTATGTTTCTAATGATACATTCCAAATTTGCATCCTTTTTGGGATACCAGGCTAGGGGGAGATTCAGAATCTGCGAGAGGGTGGGTGGAGCATCGCTCTTGAAGCCCCGCCCCTTTTGTACATGCATGCATCGCGCGCACACTGCACACAAAAGAGATGGGGGTTCAGTTGCGACGCTGGGCCCGCCATCCTGCAGATGGTGGCCTCTCATGTGGACACCGCTGATAGATGCGTATACAATTAGTGGCAATTTGTTCCTTTGGAAAACGATGGGATGTAAGTTAAGACACGACTGCTTTCTTCCACTGAATCCTGTAGGTTGGTGTAAAACTACTTTTCAGAAAGGTAAACTATGCCAGAGGGTTGACGGAGGGTATGGCAGAAAAAACCAAGATGGCGGCTGCAGGGATGCAACTGGAGTTCTGCCTGTTTTTTCTGTGGGACCTTAAGAAACGTTGTGGTGCCATCTTGACTTTTTTGACCGTAGTCTGCAGACACCCCTGCTGTACAAGAGCACTCAGCAAGCTCGTTTAACCCTATACTGTACAGCTATTATTAGATGGTGAAACTGGGTGACCACCTTTTTATCTCATGGATTTCAACCTGATTTGTTAAACGGACTGTATATGAAAAGGAAATAAGAATGACTGCCTCCAGGGACAGCTATGAAATATGTGGAGGAAGGGCATCCACTCAAAATGTGCATTTATAGAAGAAATCAGACCATTATTAGCTTCTGTAGTTAAGAGGGTTTTAAATGTTTTACTTTCATAGACTTTTTCAAAGCCTTACTTTGTATTTTCAACATTATTTTCGAGAATGGCCTGTGACTAGCTTTCTTTCTGATAGATCTTGAAACAGTGAAATATTAGAAATTGAAATACTATCAGATATCAAAGGGCAGAATCAGAGGATCCCCCCCGCCCCAATGCTAATGTCTCTAGACCTTTCCCATTATCCCCTGAGCTTGAAATCTTAATTTCGAAGAGCTGAACCAGGCTGCCCGTGGTGGATGGGAAAGGTGGTTGGGGCAAGGAGGTCAACGGGGGGTTAAAAAGTCAAGACAGTCACCACGGGTGTAGGATCGGCTTCGATCACATGGCAGCAGCCTCCATCTTGACTTTTTTGACCCCTCCTGGGGATGCCCCTGGATTTGGAGCGGATCGCTTTAAAACCTTGATGAAACGTAATATCGGTTGAGAATAGTGTGGCCTCTTCTTTAACCAGACAGAATGCGTGAAAACTCCTTAGTTGCT